CACCCGAGTTTTACTGAATCTGTTTGTTAGAACACAGTAAGTGTTCTTTGTTTGAAATCAAACGAGCAATTCAATTTTTATTGATTTTTTTAAAGATATTGTCTGTATTTGGTGAGGTGGTTCTAAAAGAATCAACCTTTCAACTTCCTTTGGTTTTGTTTGTTTGTTTGTTTGTTTGTTTGTTTGTTTTCCCCAAATGTGGTTGTTTAAAAAAAACCCAACAACCCCAAAACACACACTCCCTGCTTCTGAACCCCATTTACTGTCTCCATACAGTTTCATCCTCTTTTCAGATCTGAATTTATCTTAATCCTTCTTTAACTGGCTAATCCAGAATACTAGGTCCCTTGTTTCTGAAGGAGTGGTGAAAGACAATATATTCCTTATAGTGTTTTTAGGTTGTGACTAAACTTATTTCTTTTCTGCCTGGTCTGAACATGAGTGGTGATAAGACAACATCTCATCCTTAACTTTGGTGTTGTCTGTTTTCCTGATTTCTTGGAAATTAACACTGACAATCTCTCATTTTAAGAGTAATGGTACCCTTCATACTGCGCAGTATTAACAGAAAGCAAGGGAAAACAACTTCTGCAGGTACATAATCAAACTATTTAACAGCTTTTAGTTGCCATCTATCTGTATGAATTCTGTATACATAACATATACATGTTCCTCTAAACAGCAGAGACTTTAGACTTACTGCCTTCCACATTTTCTGCTGGTTTATTCTAGCTTCTCTCAACCTGAGCAAATGATTTTCTAGCATCCTCTTTATTAAACTAGGGGTATTGACCTTTTCTGACCTCAAGGCAGATTTTTCAGGTGTCAAAATATGCTTTAATTGACTTCTGAATATTTTCCATTTTTAAATGTTTTTAAAAATTCAAATGCCAGACTGAGCATATTGCTCCAGCATTAGTGACATCAGTTTTTCAATATGGAAATGATGAAAGCCATCTACTTCATTTCAATATTCCTTTATTTTTCCAAGGTTCAGATTAGTTCATTTAGCAACAGCTTTGCACTGGGAGTTCACAGACAGTTTCTTACCCACCTGCAGTTTCAGAATCACTTTTTTTCAGTGACCTATCCTATAAATATGACCTGTATTCCCTGTGACTAGATTTATGACTTTGCATTTGTCCTTATTAAAATTTATCTTGTTCAAATGAAGCCACCTAACCAATCGAGACAGATCATTCTATAGAACATTTACCTTATTACTTGCCACTCCACCAATTTTTGCATGCTCTTCAAGTTTTACCAGCAGTCACTTTGTATTTTCTTCCAGATCATTGAAAACGATGCTTAGGACTTAAGACTTTGATACTGGCTAGCCTATATTAGAAATACTGTGATTAGACAGGCATTCCTCCTTTATACATAAAGAGGAATGTAGGATATATATATAGAAGCTATAGGTAATAACTAATTAATCATTAAAAAAATAAACTTTAATAATTTAAATACTGTTTAAGTTATTGTATTTAATACTATCCACCCCTAGCTTGGAGAAATCAGGCAAGAATGTGGTAGCTCAGAATGTGGAAATAAGCCAAATGCTTTACAGTTGTGTAAGTACAGTATATTAACCAATTTCTTCTCTCATGAAAAACTCTAAAGCTTGCAGCCAGAGTGCTCAAGGTACAATCCTCCATTTCCATAAAATCAATTAAACTTTTGGGGAAGATAAGAAAGCCACATTTCACAGACCTTTTTTCTAATAGCAGGATATAAGCTCCAAAACGTTATTTAAATTTTAAAACAGCAGTTCATTCTAAGCTTTCAGGAGATTACTGCATTATGATGTCCCTGCTGGACCATGAAGAATGAAAGCTGAAGCTAGCAAATGGTGTCCAGTGTTTTGGTTATGAGGGTGGTGGCACCCGCCTCCTTGTTGGTCTGTTCCTATTGAAGGAGCTCCAGAACAGAGTAAGCTGATCTAAGTCAGGTTTGCTGTAGTCCTTTTTCCCTCCCACTGAACAGAGCTGCATGTTTTGTATCTATATCAGTGTTCACCTGGATCTGTGGTCAGCGGGCTTGGGGAGTTAAACCGGCTCAATACTGTGAGGATGGTGGTGACGGTGCAGGAATCTGGCCAGCTCAGCTGTGCTGTAGGAGTGTGAGGACATGGTCTGAGCTGACAAAAGTCAGCATCAGTGTAAATTTGATTTAGTAGCCTGTGCTAATTTTTTTAGGTCTGTTGTGCCTCTCTGCTTTGTAAACTGAAGTCACATGATTTTCCAGTTCTTAGACTGGCAGGATCTTAAAAAATATTTGGGTTTGTCTAGCTCTGTTTTCTGCTGGGGTCAATGGGACTTACCTTCCTGCTAATGATGGATTGGGATGATGGATTGAGAGAGGAAGGAGTTATTTACTCAACTGCAACGTTTCCTTATGGAGAGAGTTCTCACAAAATAGTTCAAAGGTATAAGCAGCTGTAAGGAGAACAGATAAACCATTCTGTATTATATTGCACATTAATTTTTGCCATGCAGGCACCATCTTGGTGATAATTATTTTTTTATTTGTAATGAATAAAACTATGATATATGAGTAAATGTAGAAATTATGCAGAGAAGTGTGATGTAGTAGGCATATATGAGGTGAAGTGACATGCACGTACAGATAATTTTTTCTACAGGTGAATGATTTGAAATTAAATACATGACATTGTTTTCCATATAAACATATACTATAAAAATACCAGTTCAATCTGATTAAGCACTTTATAGATGCTGTGGGCCACATAATTACCTATCTATTCACAATACCTCAAGCTGTAACATGCAAGCACGTCTCTCTTCAGTAATTACTACTTCTCCATCTCTTCAGAAATCTAGATTCATTGGCTCTGTAAACAGAAGTATTTACTTAATTTCTGTAACTATGACTTCAGTCACTTCTAGTCAGTTTTGTGTCTCAGAGCTTTCCCGAAACTCCTCTCAGCTAGCCAAATTTTGGAATTGCTTGGACTGTCTGACACTCTTTTCTCTCCTTTTATTTTCTTTATACCACTGACACTTTCAATTCTATCTTTCCTTTGAAAATACTATCTTTTGCAGGGTTTGGTGAAACATTCTGCTAATTTTCTGCCCACCGCTCTGGTCAATTCTACAGCATCTCTTTCAGTATGTTGTTTTTCACACTGTGAGAGTGCCAGGGGCTTTCTATCTGTCCCTAAAGGGCTTTCCTTCTGCACTGCATCCACTACCATTTTTATATTGTTGATTTATTTCTGACCCATCTTCTGCAACCTACTGATCTTGGTTCTCATCACCGATTTTGACAGTCCTCCTGTCTCCAGCTTTACTATCCTCAGACGATGGATCTCTCCAGGTCACCTGTATTGCCCATCACACCCTTTCAAACCTTTCACTGTCTCTTTCCTTCTTGCTAAATTATATCATTTCTATTCATTATCTTTTAGTTTCTTCCACAGCTTTACTTTTGTCCTATGTGCTTTTACCTCTTCTGTATCATCAGTAATCTCTAAGCCTCTCTAATGAAAACAAATTTGATGAGTGCTATATCTGTGCCTCTTCTGTCCCTGGCAAGATCATATTGTTCTTGAGACAAGCTATATAGGAAACTGCTCCCTTTTGCACATCCCTTCTCTAGAAGGTGTCAAATTAAATGTCTCATGAAAATAATTAATTCATAATGTTCAGGCACAAGGCAGTTGAGGATACCTGCATTTTCTTTTCACTGTCATTTAACGTTGCTTGTCTTTGATTGTAAGTGCTTTGAATTTGGGCTTGGATCTGTATAGAAGTTTGGAAAGTTACTAACCTGGAATGCAGATAATAATTTTTAGAAAAGATTCTCTTGAGTTCTGAGGAACAAAACCCATCATCATCATAAAATATTTTAAATATTACTACTCGCTGAGTTTAGCACATGCAGACAAATAACTGTTCGATGCCTTCTCCAAACAGTGCATTGTTCCATGATATTTATTAAAATACCGGAAAACTCACATGAGTCTCCTATTTAGAAGCCAAATAGGCATCATTAAGCCAACAAGTTCTTAAAGTGTAAATATCACCCAGCACCTCTAAGTTACCAAGCTTACTAAGGGTTATTAAGCACCTCTCTTTTGTGGTATTACAGCCTGGAGCAAAATCCAAGCTCAGAATTTAGATGGAAGAAGGACTCTCTAAAATACTGTGTAATTACTACAGTGATTCACCTCTGATGAACTACCTATAGATATGTGTGTAAAATGATTGTCAGTTAAACTTTTCTTCATTAAAGTTCTAGTAATTCTACCTACATAAGCATTACAAAATGCACCAATAGAGTGATCCTTGTTAGAACAGGGACCTACACTGTATGTTCCCTAGATAAGACAGGGATCTCTGTACTTCATATCTGTGAGCTACCAACCATGCTGTGGGTGTGATAGAATATTAAATAGCAGTAACATATTTAAAATATAATTACAAGTATTTGACTACATTCATCCATGGCATAATGTGGCAGCTGTATTATTAGGCTGTCCTTAGGAAATTGAATTACTCTAATAAATGGAAATGACTGTTATTCAAATGGCAGACTATTTGCATAAAATAGGCCAATGCTAAGTGACCAGCTGTTAAATAGGTGTAAAATCTAATCTCAAAGTTTTGGGTCAAGGATGGATGGGTTCTTGCCAAAGATTTTCATATTTGGGCACTTAGCCTGTATATCAAATTTTGCAGTCAGAAGAGGCTTCAAGATCTGAAAACTGCAGCTTAATTTATTAATTTTCCTTGTTCATACTTTTTATTTAAGAACAAGCTAGTGATTCTCATTCAACAAAATCAACAATTTCTCTTAAATTGAAATAAAGAATAAAATGTCAGATGATGCAGCTTCATTTCATAAGGGAAATGAAGGGAAATACCACTGTTGTACTTGTGGCTTTTCTGAGATATCTAAGTGTTTATTCCACTCCTATCTTATTCGATATCAGAAGCTTAGTGCAAAAAGCTCAGTGCAAAAGAAATAATTAAAAGCTATCATCATCTTCATAACCTATATATATTTACATTATCAACAGAAATGCAATGGATTTGTACCTTCCCAGAAACTTTCTGTACTTTATTGCAGCTGGGGCTCAACTCTGACTTCTGTGAGGGCTCCTTCTATTTTGGAAAATAATGCTGTCTCTTACAATGCCAAAGCTTTTGGAAAGGCAAGCTGGAAAAAAAGCTTTTTGGCAAGATTCTTGGTTAGCAAAAAGTTTGTACCAGTAATTTGAAAGACCAGTTTCTGTAATGTTCAGTCCTACATTCCGTGAGAAGGCTGTCAAAAGTTGTAAGGCTTACATCTACCTATCTCCACAGTACTCTATGGAGCAAGAAGGTGAGAAGTTTTTCCTTTCATGTATTATTTTTTAAACAGGAGGAATTCAGCACTCCACTGCTTGTCCACTGCTGGCTTTTTTGTCATGAGGTCATGTGACTTGACACTGGTACTTTTCCATGTCCATTAATAGATATATGCAGCTGATGAGCTCCATTGTAATCTTAGCGGTCTGCAGGCATAGTGTAGCTCAGTTTATGAGTAACAAACAGTAGCAGGACTTCACAGTGAAAAAAATCTTGAACAGACCACGATCTTGGAAAGTTTTTTGTTTGTTTGTTTGTTTGTTTGTGGGTTTTTTGTTTGGTTGGTTTATTTGTTTGTTTCTGTTTTTCACAAGTAACTTTTTCTGCTGAAAGCAGATAATTTGGATATACAATATTAATTTGCTAAAAGCTCCAGTTTCCATCAGAATGATATCTTCAGCCAACAGTTTTTTATATTGAATATGACCCTTATTTTTTTTCTCACAATGACGTTCTGAGTTACGCTGATGTGGAAGAAAATGAAGGAAGATGCCATGTGAACAATGTGACTCTTCTGTACCATTCATGTGATGTCATGTGATTGATCCTGGTTTGGGCTCAATTTATTTTTTCCATAATGTGTAAGTGAAATTTATTTATTGTGAAGTTAAAGAATTTTTTTCACTGAAGTTCCTGGACTCTGTATGTCAGAAGGGGACGCATTCTCTGTATGACTCTGTGTTGATTTTGCTTTGAAAACTGGAATTGAATACTCTTTTAAACATGAATGTCCCAGCTTCGTGTGTTCCCCTGCCATCTGCTAAAAAAGAAAACTAATGTAATAATAGACACTGTAGAAATATATCCAACATTTTTCAGGCCTAGCCAGCTGATAAGTTTAACAATTTTCACTAGTTCTACTTGAGGTAAAACAAATTTACATAGGGTTATAAAGGCCTGCTGGATGCATATCTCTGATGGAAAATATCTGTAAGTCTGATTTTTCCTTTTCTGTTGAGCAAATGTTCAAGCTATTCAACACTGAGAAAACTGTTCGCATTTTGGGGAGAATGCCTTCTTGCTTTACTCCTTTGGCCTTGTCATGTATTTATTTAGAGATAAAAAGAATGAATCCACTAAATACCGCAAGATGTAAACCAAATCCAGCTTCCTGTCTTTTTTAACCTATAGACTTTAATCTGTATTCTGTACAGGTGGCACAAGTCCCACAGTACTATGAAAATTGCCAAGTTCTGAGGGAAAAAAAAGATCTTTGCAATTTAATAAGAATGTTGAGAAAGTCTATCTGGCAATTCTGAAGTCCCAAAGATCCACTTTTACATTTAGATTTGTTATTTACTTTTTTTTTCCATCAAGAGAGATTGTGACTACCTTTCGTGGATTGCACCTCATTTCAAATACTCTGAATCAAACCAGCTTCTCCATATTTATCCATGTAGATAATCAGAGAGACAAATAACAATAATTCTAGAGTTAAATCACAGCAAACAGGAATAGATAGGGGAGACTGATACTATGGTATGTAGGTGAATATGTAAGCCACCACTTTGTAAAAGGTGACGTGGAATTTGCACTGGTTCATTTCATTAGCTAGATTTGGGCCCAGCAGGGAGATGTTGACTAATACCTGCTATCTTATTGAAGTATGTGTGGTTAAGTAGTTCTCTCTAGGCATCAGAGAAAATTAGAGTGTTTCTGGAGAAAAAGTGTCTAGGGCAAAGCTTTTTTCCACAAAATCCCTAAACAGAGAAAACAGAGAAGAGTGAAGAAAAGAATCTCAGAATAACAACAAAAAATATCTGAAATTTCTATTTTCATGAACTCATACTTTCTTCCAGTTATGGTACCCTATTCCTTGAGTTAGTAACACAGTGATAGCTTAAAATATTTATTTTTATTGTGTCTTTATTCTTGTACCGGTAAAAGTGCAAAATGGACAATATTAGCTCTTCTCTGCCTCGGTTAAAATTCCAGTTTTCTAGTAGATGATGGTTGAAGACAGCTCTCAGAGATTTTAATCTCTCCGCTAAGGAAAGCCTTCTGAAGCCATGAATTATACTTGCCAAAGTGAACAGGGTTGCATTTCTTTTAATATTTTCTTAATTTGGGAGCCCTTTCTTCTGGAATACAAGGATAAGATAGCTACAGGAAGGGTAGCAAAGGCATAACTGTGTTAGCACAATGTGGTAAATTTTCACGCTCAGCATGAAATCCCCATTTCAGCATGTGGGAGTAGGCTTGAGCTGCTACTAGAGTGAGCTCAGAAAGGTTCAGGGACTTCTAAAAAAATCAGACCTCCTGAGTGTGTTTCCTCATCTAACTGAATATTTCTGTAAACGCCATGCAATTATTAATCAGATCTGGACTGGCACAGAATGTGTGAGTAGTCACACTTTGTTGTGTTTATAAAACTGTCCAAATTCCATTAAATGAACTTTTCCTTAAAATAATCAGTTTCATAAATTCCTGTAACCTTCAGCACTAACCTTTTTGAGATGCTTGTGAAATTAGATCTCCTGAGCCATCCATGATATCATCAGAAACATGTAATGCATTAGCATTGTATTTGTTTAACTGCATAAATACAGTCAAGCAGATTTATTCATTTTAGCCCGTGGTAATGGCAGTCTTTCAGAGTGCTCTCCTCCCCATTAAGTTTTTCTAAAGACACTGTTGTTTTCTTTCTAAATGTAAGTGGCAAAGAAAAGCGTCCCAGGCATGTAATTTTAGTAGTATCTTCTTCCCTTATGACTCATTACTGCTGAAATCAACACAACTTGGGATGTGCTCAGGAACTTCAGTACCTCTTTAATGTTTTCAAATAGTAACATCTGTGCATGTTTATGACTTCATGCTCTGCCTTAGTGTTAGTCTTGGCCAATGTTTCTGACTGTTAAATGGTTGTAGTTTTAGAGGGTAAGGTCCTTGAACATTGCAAGAAGCAGGAAAATTACCATTATTGATTATTTAATTGAACAGGACAACAACAATGCTACAGAAGCGGACCTGCTTTTATCAGAACCATACCGGTTTGTTTAGAGCTTGCACCTTATATTCAAAGATAAATAATACACATTCCCCCCGCCCTGCCAAGTCAGGAGCAAACCCTTCCTTTCACTTTCTACCTTCATTTAGAGACAATAATGCTTCTGCATTTGAACACCTCTGGATCTTCTTGCAGACCCACTTATTTCAGCTTGCCATGTACCATGATGTCTGGCTGAGGGGAGAAGAGATACAGAGGGGGAGAAGAGACAGAGGTGAAGAAAGGCTGTCTTGAAGATAGATAGTGAGAAAAGGAGAGAGCAGATCTCAGGGAACAGTAGTGACCTAAAACACCCTTCTTTTAGGAGAGGGCTGAAAAGGAATCTAGCAGTGGAATCCTGCAACTGTTCTTGCTTGTACTTATGCAAATGTGCATTTGTATAGTGGTTATATACAAGAAATATCTTTGAGAACAATTACACATAGTCTTGATGGAACTTTTTTCATCTGGTGTATTAGTATCAGAATGACTGATCTTTGAACAATCAATGCAGTGTGTGAATTGCCAGACACGAATCTGCAGTCTATCAGGACTGCTGGTTTTGCTACTCTAGAAAGAGGGCAATTATACTAGATCAATTTCTGGAATGCTTTCAGGATAATTATCTGTGTCTGACTGTACTCCATCACTATCTTGCTCTACATCTTTATGTAGTATATTCAAAGCTTTGTGGTATCTAGATATAGCAAATAAATGAGCTATCTTTTAAAGCTCAAAGTGCTAATAAAACTGTGAAGTATGAAATGAAAATGCCAAAATGTGAGAGAGATGTTGCAAACTTGCATGCAAAGAAGAAAGACAGTATCAGCTGGAAAAGTCATGGCATTAATGCTAATATTAAGTCTTCTCATAAAAGATGTGTACCTGGCATTCGGAACAGTAGCGTACTGCATGCTGGGGAAGTTACCAGTGTCCTGTAAAGCCTTTCCATGTACTTGATGATACATAAAGAAACCTTGAAAGGTTTATGCCAAAGAGAATTTTTCTGCTTTGTTTCTACATTTGAAATTCAAATTCTCTGAGGAAAATTTTCTGTTGATTGAGGAGCTAATGACATGTTAATAATCACAAGAACAAAAAGACTGAAAGTTGTATAACTCAGAGGAGAATGTGTTTAGGGTCATTCTGTTTAAAACAGAGTTTGCCAAAATGCATAAATGTATTGAACACAAAACTGAGGAAATATTCAAAATAAAGAGAAGACCAAAAATATGCAGCCTGCCTCACGCTCCTTATGAAATATATGAATTTACTTATGGCACTGAAACTGAAAAAAACTTTTACCTGTGTTAAATCAACATGTACACATTTTAAATGCAAAAGAAGTATGCTCTGATTTCAAAGTGATACATTATAAGGTACAGTGTAAATCAGGGGGAACTTTATATTCCTAAGCAGGTATAAATCAAGACATCAGCACTGCTACTCTAGGTTTGGCACTCCATCTGCTAGAGATACATGCTTTGGTGGTATTTTTTTCTGACTGATACTTGAGTGTGGTAAAACTATACGAGCGTATTGCCAGGGTGATGGGAGTGAGCTGTTACTGGGTGCACGCACTGCATTGCATCCGCTGCCGCGAGGTGAGAAGAGTTCACATGATGAGTTGGAATTGACAGATTTCTGAATCCCCTATATTCTTTACTTCCAAAACACAGTTCACACTTGTATTCCTCTTTGTTTTGCTGAAATGAAGGGACTTCATTTGTTTTCTTCTCACTGTTTTGTTTCTCCTGAAAACTATGAGTGTTTGCAAGAGAGACTTAAATAATGATTTGTTTGCCAGTGTGCTGAACTGGCATGGTGGGGCTTGGGTGAACGAGCATCTTCAGTTCCACCTCCTCCATAGTATTCTGTGGTATGATTATGTGGGTAATAAAAGAAACAGAAGGCTTTTGAATTCATCTATCTGTGTTTGTGAACACAGTACAAAATGTAAAACACTTTTAAAAATTAGAACATGTTAATTTGGGGAAGTAAATGGGAAGTAAATAGAGAGGGAATATTTTTATTGTTTAAGGAAAGCTTCTGAAGGGAGCAAAGGGAAAGAAATGGTATTTATAGTGTACATATTTGAAGGTTATTGGATGTTTTTGCTATCTTTGGTACTTCTAAAACAACTGCTCTGTGTACATTCCTAATAAGATCTTTTCTAAAGCAATTTTTATGCTTAAAAGTGGTTTAGTTTTCTCTGTGCTCGTGAATATAAAACAGAGCTATGTGGAGTGTGTGGTCCACTTGCATAATGGTTTGGAGTCCAAAATTAAATGCAGAGTGACAGTGGAGATGTCTGTTTGCAGTATGTGCATATGTTTGTAGTTTTCCTGAGAAGTTTCTCATACGCTTGTAGAAAAACACGATGACTTCGTGTCTCTCTTGAGCTGGCTGTGCTTACATGTATAGAAATAAATATATTTTAAATCTTTGTTATATCACTTGCCTTTCTCATAAGAAGAATAAGTATAACTGAGTTGTTGTCTGGGATTGACTCTGTGAGTAGAGCTTTGGAGAATGAGAAAAATGAGGACTTAACTCTCAGGTAAGACCTGGGACAATTGACTGGATTATTAATTGTTTTTCTTCTCAAAGCCAAATAAGAATTTGACTGCCTTTTTACAGGTTAAATGTTATATTTACTGTAAATTTCTTACCATAAATTCTTTGAGGAATTATAAAGCTCTAAAAAATCCAGGAATAAAAGTTCTGTTTAATTGTTTATTTACATTTATTTTTATGGAGGTCACTATTGCCTCTTCAATATATAGATTATCCCAAAGATCTTACTGAAAAATGAAGGATGAGCTACCTTTCCAACAATATACCTTAAAGTCTTTAGTTCTTAGAGTAAGAAGAACTGACCCTTCCTTTTTACGTGTATAAACTTGCTAGTTTAAACTCCTGATTTTTTTTTCTCATTGATTTTAGTGGTCAAATATCCTGTGATATCTGTGATATCTGGCCAGGCCCTATACATAAACTAAAATACTAGTGAAATGTAGTAAAACAATACTGAAATGTAATTTTTAGAGTACCTACTTTGCCTTAAAAAAAAAAAAAAAAAAACAGTTATGCAATAACCTACCGTATCTACAAAAAGAACAAGATCTTTGGTTGCCTTGACCTAAACAAGGTGGTGATCAGCAGCTGAAGATCTGACCCAGTTCTGCTCCAAAAATCAGCTTTCCCCTTTGTTATGTTCCAGTCAGCATGGCATAATCATTCCGTGGCACATTTTCCCCTGTGGTAGCACCACTTCTTGGGAATTTTCATAGATGTAGGCTGCATAGCTCTTAACTGGTTTGCTCAGTATTTACTCATGGCTGCAGCCCATGTGCTCTGATGAGACTGCGTGTATAAACACATGCCTACCCATCAACATGAGTAATGGAGCACACTCTAACCTATGGATATTTATTTGCAATTTAGGCTGATACTTTGTGAGCTGACTCTTCCCAAAAGTTGCTTTATGCTTTTGATAATTTTAAAGAATTCTCAAACATCCCTATTACCATTTCAAACATCTTTCTAATAGTGTCTCAAAACTGTTGACAATAACTTCCTTTTATCATTTGAATTCTAGCACTTTAAGGAACATTCTTAGTGGAACATTTTAAATTTCAATTTGGGATTAAAATATTGATAGGAGAATATAGAGATCTAAGTGTGTAGTTTTAGAGTCTTATCATTTTATCTGTTTAGCAGGGTAATTATATTTGCCTTTCACGAGCACAATGAAATGGCTGCCCACAGAAAATGGTTTAGCTGTATCAGTGAGCTTTATCTGTTTCTTTCCATGTATCCTCAAGTGAAGACAGAATTATAGCTTGTGAAAGACCTTCCATTTGCTCCTGCTTCCATCCAAAAAGAGCAAACCTTATTATATTTACTAAAATGTTTATTGATGATTTTGAAGGGTTTCCATTGTTTAATATCCCCTTTCCATTCCCCACTTCTTGTGTGCACCTAGTTAGAAAAGAGAAGTGGAATCATAATGAGGGGAGGAAGTGGGGACTAACAAAGACGACCACTATAAATCAGAGAAAGCAGGTGGGAAGGATGGCTGTGTGCAAATGGATTTTGCATTGAGGTCTATAATCCTGAACTTTTGGGCTTCTTTTTTCATTATTTTGAGTTTATCTGCACCTTTGTGACAACATTTTGCAGACACAGTCACATTTACTGGAAATCCTTGTGTGTGGCTTTTACAATCACCCACACCTGTAGTTGCATTTGCACCTTTTTACATCTTTTCTGTGTGAAGGTAATAACATGAATACATTGCCTCGCTACTTTAAGGGCACACACCCATCCACTGCAATTGTATATATCTACTGAAGTGCAGAGACATGGCCAAAAATAAAGTTGATAGTGCCCCACCATCATCAGTAGTCCATGAACATGAACCCTAACCTCAGAATAAATGGACAATCCTATTCAGAATTTTTCTTTTGCCTTCTCTTACATCAGGCTCTTAAGATTCCTCAAGAATTACAGGAAATCTCATTTAGTCTCCCCAAGTCCTTGTGAATTTATGTCAGATTCCAGTGGTGACACTCCCAAGGAAATATAAACTATAGTTGTGGTTTCATATTGTGTTGCTTTCAGTGTAACCTGTTTTCAGCCTGAGTATCTCATGTAACCTTTCTTTCACACTTGGAATTCACAAACAACTTAAGATCAGCTTCCTGATGACTCCTGGAGTACATTATGAAAGACCATGAGAGATTTAAAACTAAGGCTTAGAATCTGGATTTTATTTTTGGAAGGTGTAACATATCTCAGTAATAAAGCAGAATCGGGCCCTGTGCTTCTGGATGATAGCTATTCTTGGTGGGTGTCACAAGGTATGGGGGTAAGCAAAATGTTACATACCTTTAACACTGATGAAATCTGATAAACCTCTAGTAACTTGCTATATATGTTGTATCCTAGGACTTCATGAACATGAATTTGGCTATTAAATAAATAAAATAGGAAAAAGAAGGCATTCTTTACAAGATGGCATACCAGACTCAATCACATACATAAGTTGTGATAGTGATTTCCTTTCCATGAATTGCAATCTGGATCCTTGTTGCACAGTAGGTGTGGAAAAAAGTGCTCAAGATTTAAAAGCACTTTGTGTTTCGGTTTATTATGTCAAATATTGATAGTCTGATTTCCAAGCCAGAGCTGAAACTGAGCTATACTTATCCCATGGAGACTCCTGTGACTCTTAGTTATTTCACAGCAGTCCTAGAAACTGGCCATGGGAACAAACTTGTTCCCTGAGATGAGTATGTTTTATGTGTCCAGCATTATTCAAAATCAACCATAGTTAAGCAGCTAGGTTAAAACATGTTAGATAAACTTATTTATGTTAATATAATGTCTTTATATATTTAATGGAGCACAGTCTCCATGTCTGAATTAAAATTCAGCAAATATGTGACTGGTACTCGTGAACAGTGAGTAGTGTTCAGCAATTGATTTTTCAAATAGAATATACTTTTTTATTTCTGAAAATTACCCACCATGATAGCTACGCACCACATTGTTTTAACAGTAAAATAAATGAAACATCTGGAACTGACAGAATTACTCCACAGAGCAGTCCGTGAACAGATGAGCAAACAGATTGGCATGACTATGAAGAAGCAAAAGCCGGACAAGTCTGCTCCCACCCATCCAAAAGAGAATGAAGCTTCACAGAAGTCATTCTGCTTGTCTCACTGACACCTATTATTCACATAACAGCTACAGCATATCTGTAGGCAACGCCACTTGTGCAGTCTTCTTTGCCAATATGGACAAATTTGTGTTTTGCAGTGCTACCACAGAAAATATTTGTTTACTTTCATTCTTTGACTTCCATATCCACAAAGCCAACATGAGTGGCAGCTAATTAGAGTCACAATGACAGAAGTCAGTCTGTGAAGAAGTAGAACAAAGCCATCGATTTATTTCCTGTTATCACAAAGCAGTTTTTAGATTGTAATGACTTTAAGCACATCTAATAAGAATAGCTAATTTCTAAATGAAAGACTCCAGCATTAAAAAGTCCCCAACCCAAAAGCTAGTGTTTATTCAAATGGTTAATTTTGACTTTTAAGTGTTTAAAAACATTTTTTGATAAAAACATACACAGTATGAGACTTTATCTTACAGTGTAAGCTTGTAGAGGTAGAGGTTTGTAAAGATGGATAAAAGATAAAATTCTGGTTTGTTTTTATTTTTTTAAAGCAGATACTTGGATTTATCCTGTGGTTCTAGACCATATGCTATTCCTGGGTTTCAGGTCACACATAAAGGTAAAGAAGAGTAAATTCTGTTCTGGTACAGAGAGTAGATATTATCTGATTAACCTATGCTGAGTATCAGAAAAGAAAAGTTATCAAGCTATCTTGAGTTTTTGGAGGGAGAGGTTTTTTTTAACAGTTCCTCACGTTGAATGTATCTTTCTAGTCTCCTGCAAAACTTCAAAAGTTTTACAACATGGATGCTAGACAAATTTAATTTTCTTAAAAAAAGAAAATTCTGACCTTTTTTGTTAATCCCTGTATCTCAGGGAAAACAGTCCATATTTATCTCCTAGTCCCCTCCTACTGAATAGTCTTTGCTAGCTTTCTTGAAACCTTAATGCTCTGTCCTTCCAAGACAGATTGAAAGGTGTCTCTTTTCCTGTGAGCTGTTCACATATTTCCTTGCATACGTGAGCATGTACCAAGAACTGACAGTACTATTGTCAAGTCCCATTGTGCTCCCTCCTGTCTTAATCAATTCTAGCATGCATCAAGCCCCTTCCAAACATTACGTGGATACTTGGGCACCTAATCACTGTCAATCCAAACAACAGCCAAATGGCCTGGCCGCAGTCTGTCCCCCAAGGATTCAGATACTGGCTTGAAAGCTTGGCTGGTGGTTTTCCCATCAGCCAGGTTTCCCCATCAGACACTTGGGTGTAGCTCCAGCCTGTGATCCTGAGACCCAATATCTGTTTCTATCTGCTGCAGCCTTGGTCCTCGATCCTGAATCTTAGATATGTATCTCTCTGTTCTGCATCCTGTCCCAGCTTGTTCCTGCTGCCAAACAGCCAGCCTAATTCTGCTCCAGCCTTCTTTGCTTGACAACTCCATCTTGCAGGGTGGATCTCGTAACCCTCAGCTGAGTCTTTCCTTTGCCAGCATTGACTGCTTGAATCCTGACTTTAGCTTGTATTAGCTTTCACTGTCCTAAGCTGCTGTAGTATAAGGGCCAGCTGAGAGCCTGAACTCCTATTCCTCCGTGGAAACTCACAAAAAATAATGTGACTGAAAAGATATCTGCAGCAAAAGCTCCTGATGCCAAATTTGAGACTTAATGCTTTTGTGACCTAAGAAACTTACTCACTTCCATCTCTTTCAGTCAAAGGGCACTGAGAAATAGATAAAAAGATGTGAGTCCTGTGAAAATAAGACACTTCCATGACCCGAGTTTTCCTTGATAAACAGAAACAATAACAAAAATGTGTTTGCCATAAATGCTTCTTAGGACTTTCACAGACTTAACTGGGCTCTGAATCATGATAGTCACTAAACATTTTCTTAATCCACTGCACTTAAAAGTCCCCAGGTAGGCTGTTGCTAGCAGCAAAATGATCTGTCTGCTCTGATCTTCCCTTTTTCTCTGCACTCAGTAATCTTGGTATAAGGAAATGTAAGACTATGAAAAGCCAACGGGTTCTGAAACAATCAGGTGTTGAGAATGAGTTAACATCCGTTCTGTCTTCCAGTGCCTTCTGTTTAGGTCTTTTACACATTTCAAAGTCTAAATTTTCATGCAAACAGACAAAAAAGAACTGATTTAAGCTACTATCAATAGGATACTGCTGTCTCAATGAACGGGAATGTTTAGACTATATCCACAATGTGTTTTTGCAAATATTGTTTAAAAAGGCAAAGACACTGAAAACCTTTATTTGATTGTTCTTTAGGATTAAATTGCAGCATGACAACTTGCCTTAAACTGACTCAGTGGCAGCCTATAGTTGTCCACCCCCAGATCAGATCAGGCAGGGAGCTAGCTCCTGATTACAGTTTGTGCTTTGGTCCTCCATTCATTACAAGGAAGCAGCAATCTGTTGCAGTCTATTCAGCACAGGATTACTTTTCCTTCCTGGCTGGTCCAGATTTGCTGGCCAACAAGGCTGGATATCCTGCTCCCACCATTCATGCTGTGCACATTACTGTATGAGATGAAGAGTAAAAACCTCTGGAGTCACCGAGAGAGCTGTGATGTTACTCAGTGGAACAGAAAATGTGAGCCAATCTTGCAAAAAATTGTAACTGTCCTTTTTAAAGGATGTAGTTGTATTTACTTTGTGATAGCCTCCTATTTGGGTCTTTTAGTTAGAAACATATACTCTGGTTCTTTGAGCTGATGTATGTGAGCAAGCCCTAGATGTGCTGGCAGATGAGATTGCAGTGCTGGGGTCATGCCTGAAAAGAGAGAAGAACATAATTTGACAGCATATTTTAAAACAAAATAACTGATTATTTTATTGGTACTACCTGTGCTATAGGTAGAGAAAGTTGAAGCTGAGCATCAGCTCAGCTATGACATAATGTCTGTTACATATCTTTATTAAAAAGCCTCATAATTATATCCTCACAATATCTGCAAAAATGTTGATTTCAAATTAAAAAAAAATAAAAATCTGCAATTTAATGCCTTTAAAACCTTTAAGTTTGTGCATTTGTAAATTATTATTTTATTTTTAATATACTAAAAGTACACAAACTTCAGGTTATCCCTCTTTTTGAGATAAAAGTGATTCTTTCCTTAGGCTTAGTGGATTTTATCATTAATAGCTAGGAACTGAAAAATAGTGGTGAAAATAGCTAGGAATATGCAAGAAAAATATGTTTTCTAATAATTTATTCAATGATTAGTGCCAATATTCCTCAAACCATATTCAAGCAACTGTCAAACTAGCTGAATACCTAAGTCTTCAGTAAAAAATAGTAAATTATTTGATTAAAAATGTCAGGATTCATTCTAAAATGTTTTTAGCAAATGACATTAGTCCAGCTGTCTTGTAAAGTAAGAGGACCAGAGCTTTTTCCATATCTTCTGGGAACAAAAACTAATTCTGTAAATGTTTGTACAGATTTTGTTGTATTCCTTTGAGCCTAAACTGAATATTAAATTATGAATATTGTCATTCCTCTTGTAGGAGAGGCTTGGTACACTGTTTAAAAAGCTAAATAATTCATTCAATTAAAAATATGAGGCAAGAGCTTTAAGGCTATAGTCAAACATCAATTGTACGTTAACATCAGTGTTTGTGTGTGTATCACTAGGCATACATAAAAATACATATGAATTCCTATGATCTACTGCTCCACTTTGCTCACAGATACAGCAAAGTAGGTACAGATACTTTATTGATAGTCCAGAAAGGATATGATCTGATTATTTGTTAGTGCCAAATAATTACCAACCTGCCTTTTTTGAAACATTAATAACGAGAAGAATAACTCTCACTAATGTTCTGTGAGCTTATTAACATAGCTCCTTACAATATTTACATGACCCTCTTAAGGTTCATACTACCATCTTACATGATGGAGAGGCAACACATATTTTTGTCAGCGTTTCTGGCTGGCAGTCTTCCTCCAGGACCCCGAAGGACATTCCACAAAAGCAGAGGTGTACAAGTGAGGAGGGACTGAGGGAAGAGAAGTGATCCTTTTGCTGTTTTCTACCCACCTTTGTTGAATAAAGTTCGTATGAGTAATAGGATACAGAAGAACTAGATGGGTTTAAGGTAGTGTAAACTGTGGAGAAGTGCTAATTCTTTTCTTCCGATAGTTCACAGTGGCCTGCAAAAGCCTAAGGGACTTACAGGTTGACCTGGATCCTGGTTTTCATTCCTCCTCCTCTCAGCAAAAGTGTGAAATCTTTTGAAAAGAACTTTGTGGCTGTTTTTTTTTTTCTCTTTATTTTCTGCTATAAGTTACTCCTCATATAAAGGCAATAGAATGCAGAGTATTTATCTTTCAATGAGCTAGATAGCTAAAGATGAGAGTTAAATCAAGGGTCTAGCTTATCTCTATCAGCCAAAAACAATCCAAGCCAAAGGAGCTGATGACAAATATGTGAGAAATCAAACATATTTGATGATAAGGAAATAATGCCAGAAACCTTGCATTGACTTGGTTCATCCTTATTCATGAACAGAGATGAGTCACAATCAGGCACTGGTTTGAACTTAGTTCAGCTTTTTCATTCTGTTGCCCACCTCTATTTCTGTCATATGGAATAATGATTTTCTAGCAGAATACAAGGCGACAAGTTGGAATTCAGTTCTTGTCTAGTAGGCTGTTTTGAGAATTTTTTTGCATGCTTTTTATTTTATTTTTTTTTTTTTTTTGTTTAAAGATGCATATGCTCAGCAAAGAAAACTTAAGCTTCAGTAGTTGAAGTTCCTCTAAGTAGCTGAAAACGGAGCATTGTAATGGAAAAGTGTTGACCAATTTTCATGGGAAGGGCCGGTAACAACACTCATGTTGCCCATTCATGCAAAAGCATGGTTGAAGAAAGAGTCACTGAACATATTAGCAGCATTCTCAATATTGAGTGAGGTGTTTCAGATAAGCCGTCTGATTTATACTTTGAAAAAATAATGCTATGATTGAAACACTTGCAAAACCACCCATCTTTTATTGTTGGACTTACTTGATAAGGTAATACTACTCTCTCCACAATGGCTCATCCTGGGCAGCAAAGCCTGATTCATATTCTTCACCTTTCTTTTAATGAGTTGAAATAGTGAACTTTTTCCAAGTCACTGTTAGTATGTATATTTAGGCTATGGCAGATCTAGTACTGGAAAGACAATAGAATCCCAGAAACCGTATTTGTATAAATATTTGCCAAACCTATGTTTTTTACAGATAAATCCTATATGAAAAAATACACTAATACTAGCACTTCTGAATGCCCTGATGAAAATCAACTTTTACAATGAAAGTCAGTTTTCTTCCCCTGGTTTAACAGATGATGCTAATAAATAATCTATTTTCTGAATGAAAGACTTGCTGCAATAGAGGCCAGAAACTGAAAGGCCGAGTTTTGGATGGTACTTATGATGGCCAAACAGTTTTGAAAATCTGATCTTCAGAGCTGAAGGACTACTGAAAACGGGAGGTGTTAGTACGTTGCTCAGGCTCAATACTAAATAGGGTTGCAGAGTCACACTGTCTCTTGAGTTCACTCAGTGTGAGAACATCTGCACTCCCTTTTTCTTCTATAAAGGAATGTTGGCTAGTTGCTGAGCT